GCTTGTGGGCTGCCTCATGTACCTGATGACCTGCACTCGACCTGACCTTGCTTACCCTCTTAGCATCCTGGCTCGCTACGTTGCGCCCGGGAGACACCGACCAGAGCACTAGGAGGCCGCTAAGAGAGTGATGCGCTACTTGTGCAGTACGTCAGGCATGGGGCTAGTGCTTGGAGGACGGGCTCGAGTTGTCCTCACTGGTCACGCAGACGCTTCTTGGGTTGACGACTTGGCTATGCAGCGGTCGTCACAGGGTTACTCCTTCAGCCTTGGCTCCGGCTCTGTTTCTTGGCGGTCTACCCGCTCGTCTTCTGTTCTCAGCTCCAGCTGTGAGGCTGAGATATATGCAGGGACCATGGCTGCGCAGGAGTTACGCTGGCTCACCTACCTGCTGACTGACTTGGGAGAGCCGCCTCGTTCTCCTCCAGTTTTGTACGTCGACAACAAGGCCATGATTGCCTTGTGTCAGGAGCACAATCTGGAGCACAAAACGAAGCACATCGCTCTGCGCTACTTCCTTGCTCGAGAGTTGCAGCAGCGTGGTCAGCTTCGTCTTGCTTACGTGGCCTCTCGGGCCAACACTGCTGATATCTTCACCAAGGCCCATCAGCCTTGTGATCATCAGCGTTTCTGTACTGTTCTAGGCCTTGTGCCTACTTGGCCTCACTTGCTCACTTCTTGACTTTGCTTGTACTGTGATCTATATACTTATACCTGCATGCTTACACTTGCTAGGTTGTGATCATTGTACTACTTGTTCTCCTTTATATAACTCTGCATGTGAACTGGCCTTGTGGCCTTTTGCTTGTGCTCAGAATGCGTGGTGACTTCGTGATCCACCCTGAGCTTGCTTTGCTTTTCTTGACCGGTCTTGTGACCTCTTGTTCTCCCCAACTTTGCCTATGGGGGTGTGTCAAACTTATATGCTGCTTATTGTGTAGGCTATAGTGGGGTAGCCCATATGGGGTACAACCCAATTAGGGTTTCCTACTTGTACCCACCTGCTTTCTAGTTCATTCATTCTCGTTTATTCTGCTGACAGTTTTGTCTTTAAATCGGGGTGTTTCTTATGTTTGGGTGCTTCCGTTTATAAGATACCTTTATGCGTGTACGAGTTAAGACATATGTGTCTTATAAACGAAACGGTAATATACTTAGTGAAAATTAAAATAGAGCATACCGTATGGCCCCGGATATAGGGTCCGTCCGATTAAAGGCGCCGGCGCCTATATCTCGAGCATGGCGCTTATGGCCGTTCCTCGATTATAGGCGCACCCCATTTGGTACCCGTACTTATTATAAGCCCATACCTTTAACATTTTTACTATTTTTTTAGTAAAACACTAACAATTAACATCTTTGAAAACATTTCATTAGAAATCTAGCACCAACAATTACAAAGGCCTACTAAGAACTGAATGAACAGGCGTTTACAAAGGCCTTTCTACCTAGCTACTCCTCCTCGTCAGACTCGGGCTCCTGGCAGTTGTTGCCGAAGAAGCCATCGGCGATGATGTCTTCGTCGACATCCACTTCCGCGGTTAGCTGGGTCCGCCTGTGCGCCATGGCGAGGCCGTCCTCGCTGCCGTCAAGTGCGTTGCTAATGCCACAGGTGAGGAATGCGCGCTTGATGAGGTCGGCGGGCACTGCCCTCCAGGCCCGCGAGATCCACCTCAGGACCACTGCAGGTGGCGGCTTCTTGAGATTCCCTGAAACAACAAAAAAGGGACGATGGTGAGTAGATAAAAAACGAGGGTGCTTTTATCAACGTACATAGACAAAAACCAGTTTAATTCCGTACCTGCTTTAGTCAGCTGTTCTTGCCCCTCCTCTTGAAACCACTTCTGGTACTGCTGACGGACGGAGGCCTTGAAGCTCTTGTTGACGGAGACGTCCAGGGGCTGAATCTCCCCCGTACAGCCCGACGGGATGATCGCCAGCACGCAGTTTATCTCCCGTAACTTCTCCTTCACCCCCTCGGTGAGGTGCCCGCGATAGGAATCCAGAACCAGCATGGAGCTCCTGGAGTGCCGACCGAAAGACGGCTTCAAGAACGGCTTGACACACTCGTCGAGCCAGCGAATGACACCCGCGGAGTCCATCCACCCGTTCTCGTGGCACGCCACGACCACATCTGCACAATAAACATCGGGATGAGAAACACTAATTTAGTGGTAAACAAAAACGTGTCATGCACACGTCAAACAAACATCACTTACGAGGCGGAAAGTCACCCTTCGGAAGCGTCTTCCTTTTGAAAAAACCCACGGCTTGAGCTTGGCGCCATCCGCCGTGCAGGCCAGCATCACGGTCACGCGCTCCTTCTGGTAACTGGCACTCCTGATGGGCACCGAGCGAACGCCCGCTTGCTCAATGGTCGTGGTGGCGGGCATCTCCAGCCAAAGAGGAGTCTGGTCGGCGTTGATGATCCACGTGGTCTCGATGCCGCGCTCGCGTCGCTTGTCTCGGACAAACTGCCAAAAACTCTTGCACTGCTCCGCGACATCTGCGAGATGTGGGAGACAGGGCGAAACACACGGGTGCAATTAGTACATCTCATGGTAAAGCACAAACAATTACCGTATGCGGCGGTAAACACGATCTCACGAGCGGCGGTTTTCTGTGCAACCCTTGTCTTCATGCGGACGCTTAGATTCCAGCGCCTCCGAAACCGCTCCGACCACCGTTGACTCCCCTTCCACTTCTCCAGAGGGTAGAGAACCTTCATAAACTCCTTCGACCACTCCTGCAGGCGGCCCACCGACACCGCACTTCCTTTGCGGCGCCACTCGAGGAGTCGCTCGTACACCTTCATCTCCATCGGTCGGTACCAGCTGGATCTCCCGCGACCGTGCATCCGCTTCCGTGCGGAGTGAGCTTCCTTCAGGAATTCCGCGGAACGCTTCCAGTTGGAGAGGCACTTGCGGTGTATACCGCTCTCGCGAGCCAACGCACGCACCGAAACTGCCACCTGCAGAAGCGCGACATACTTCAATTTCTCGGCGGCGGTATAGGCTTGACGCTTGTGATCGTTGAGCTTATGCCTGGGAGAGGGGGGGCGGGCATCACGGTTCTGTGTAGCGGGGTGGGGTCGCTTGCGATTAGTAGGGGGGTAGGTAGGTATCGGCAACTTCTCTGGGAGCCCGTCGCGCGACCAGTTGTCAACACCGTCGTCCTCGTCGCCGCCCGGCGCACCCTCGGGAAACACATCCTGAGCGGTGCCGGCCTCGGTTTCAGTCTCCGTGCCACCCTCGGCGCCTTTGTCGCCCTCCTCGAGACTCTCCTCCTCAGCGTCAGGGATTTCGTCGTCGGCGCCGACTGCAGATTCGTCCCACGTACAATCGTCGGGACGGCGCCAGCGCTGTCTTGGCACATCTTCAACATCCACATACTCATCTGTGGGCTTCTTGGACTCTGGTTCCGAGAGGTATTCGTCGAACGCCGATGGGAGCAGAAGCGTGAGCACGGGAGGATTGCCCGTGTGAACAGGAGACACCGACAACGGGTGAGAAGGAGGAACGGGAGGAACAGGAGGCGCAGGAGGCTCAGGAGGAGCATGAGGAGCAGGCGGCGCAGGAGGCGCTGGAGGTTGTGGTGGCTCTGGTGGGCTAGGTGGGACGCGGGAGTACCATCCGTCCGCGTCAACTACAAAGGCGGGCTTACGGGTGGGTTTCCTCTTGAACAAGAAATGAGTGCCAGAGAATTCTGCCATGGCTTCCGCAGCATGGCGGGAGAGACCAAGAATCTGAATGAAAAAGTGAAAGAGTAGGAGAAGAAATGAGGGTTTGGAGGGGACCCCTTCGGGTGTGCGGCTCGAGTTCCTCTTCAGGGATAGTCGAATCCCCCCCTGCCTAAACCCGCAGAGGAGGGAATCGCGGCACGTATCTGCTGCGTTGGTAGGGATATTCCACCCCTTTCTGGAATGTTCGGGTGAAATGTGGCACCCTGGCAGCGCATGAAATTCCGATTGGGCCGCACGGCAGGATGCACGCCATCGCTGGCAGGTGCGTTGCACCAGGACGGGCTTTGTGCGGTGGGAAATCGAGTCGCGACTGTTTTCGGCGGGATTTCATGCACGAGCCCATGCGCACAGTGCATGGTCTTGTTCGCCTTATTGAGGGCTGTTAGAAATGGGAAAGGAAAGAATGAATGAAGCAGAGAAGAGGGTTTGCACTAGCAGGCAGTTGAGTACATATAGGAAACCCTAATTTGGGCTATACTCGCTATAGAGTACCCCACTGCAGGCTAGACAAATATCACATTCTGACAAGGGCTTCATTTTCGTGCCTCTAAAAACAAAAACCATTTTTGACATTATAAAAGCGCTGGCGCTTATGGCCGTTACTCAATTACAAGCGCCACCCCTTAAAAAAATGATTTTATTATAAGCGCATATGCGCCTATATCCGGGGCTATACGGTACATTTTACCCTTGCGAAACGCGAATTCGGTAGGTAAGATGTTGCCAACAGGAGGAAGGGATGTTGCCCGCACAGGCAACTTTGCTGTGTCCTTCACGTAGCACGTGATGGCGACGCATGCATCACCCCCCCAAGGTCGGTCAAATTCAATGAATCTGTCACTTGGGTGGTTTCTACAGACTTTGTAAATGTTACAAAGTGCATTTAAAATTTGTCCATTTATAAGACTTATAAGACACCCAAAACCTCCCACAACCCTAACATAGTGTATAAGATAAGACATATATGTCTTATATCCGGGCGATGACGGTATGAGTAGAGGCATCAGTTGCAGCAACAGTAGACACAGGTGTGGCAACAACTGGATGAGTTGCTGCACTGCTGGCAGCAGTGGGGGACGAAGTGGGTGCAGGAAGAGGAGCAGGAGCAGAAGAATCAGCAGCAAGATTAGAAGGCGGAGCGGGAACAGCAGTGGGAATGGACATGTTGGGAGCAGGAACAGCAGCAGGAGGAGCAACTGGAGCAGCAGCAGGAGCAGGTGTTGTGGTGGCAGCAGCAGGTGGCACAGGCGCAGCTGGTCTAGCTGCCACAGAGGCATTGGCGGGAGCAACTGCAGCTGTGGTGGAGGGAGGCGCAGGTGAGGTGGAGGAAGGCGCAAGTGTGGTGGAGGGAGGCGCAGGTGAGGTGGAGGGAGGCGCAAGTGTGGTGGAGGGAGGCGCAGGTGAGGTGGAGGGAGGCGATGGGGTGGATGTGAGTGAAGTGGGGAACGCAGTGAGAGACCGGGGGGGAGGCGACGTTGGGAGAGAGGGAAGTACGTGGGAGGAAGGGGGAGCGGCAGTGAGTAGCGGCTGGCCCCAGCCAAAGCTGTACGGCCGGGTGACAGGGAGAAGGGCGGATGGCAAGCCAGCAGATGCAAGCAGATGTGCAAGGGAGTGGAGTGCGGTGGTGGCTGGTGGCACAGCGTGGGGGAAAGGGAAGCGCGGGGCGTGAGCAGCAAAAGGGGCAGGCATGGGGTGGGGAGCGAGAGCAGCTCGGAGGGCTGCTGCCACTATGAGCTCAGGGGCCAGCAGCGATGCTGCCACGCCCGCTGACACCTGCCCGCCCGCTGTCAACTGCCCTCCGCCTGCTGCTCCCCTGCTTGCCATGGCCGCCCCACTCCCCGCTGCTGCTGCCCTGGCCCGTGATGCCACCACCCCGCCCTGCACATCCCCGTGATGAGAAGGAGCGGGGATGCCATCACAGGCATGCACCACCACACCGTCCTGCACATCCCCGCTCCTCCTTCTCTTCCGCCCTCGCCCACCAGGCATGCCCCCTCCTGCGCTCCTCCCTGCCACCATGCCAACTATCCCCTCCTTCGACTCCCACTCCTCACTGCTCTCACTCCCCTCACCCCTCTCCCACACCACCACGCGGGTCCTCTCAAGCCTCCGCCATGCGCGCCCCACCGCTGCTACCCGGTGGGCTGTGAGCTTCCCGGGGAAGGGGGTGGCTGCGGCAAGGGCAGCCCACGCACACTGCAGCTGTGGGGCGGCCTGGGCGGCAGATGCCACCCGCACGCCGGCCAGCGATGCCAGCAGCGTGCTCACTTGAGGTGGCGGGGTCATGGGGGCATGTGTAGGGGCAGCAGCAGAAGCATTCGCAGCGGCAGCACCAGCAGTGGCAACAGCAGCAGTGGTGGCATTTGCAGGTGCAGCACTTTGTGCAGCGACAGAACGAGTGAAAGCATCAGCAGTGGCAGCAGCGTGCAGGCTTGTATGCGAATGGAGGGTGGGCAGGTGAAAATCATGGTCCGTGTCAAAACCACCACCATCATGGTCCGTGTCAAAACCACCACCATCATTGTCCGTGTCAAAACCACCACCATCATTGTCCGTGTCAAAACCACCACCATCATGGTCCATGTCAAAACCACCACCATCATTGTCCGTGTCAAAACCACCACCATCATTGTCCGTGTCAAAACCACCACCATCATTGTCCGTGTCGTCAAAGCCACCCTCGCTGTCACCAGTAACGCCACCATCCTGCCGCCCCCCTTCTATCCACTCCTCCTCGCGCACGTCAGTCAGCCGGCGCCCACTCGCCTGGATCTGAGCGCGCCTCTCCCGCTGCTCCTCTGCCAGCGCCACCAGCGCTGCCACCTCCTCCTTCTTCACCTCACACCGCTCGTCCAGTATCCCCCTTATCCTCGCCCTCACTCCTCCCTGCCCCTCACTCTCCTCCCCCTCCTCTCCCCCCCTTTCTTCAAACTCGTCCTCCGCCCGGCCTTCCGCCCCTCTCCTCCCACCCAGCCCGCCCCCTCGCCCCCTCGCCCCCTCGCCCCACCACCTGCTCTTCCCGCGCCACCAGGGGGGTGGAACCCCCAGCGCTGCATGAACTGCTGCACCCATGCCAGGCTGCATGTGAATCTCCGACCCACCCCCAGCAGCGGTGCCAGCCGCCTCGCATACTCCTGCACCGCCCTCACACACACCTGCTGCTGCTCCGCCCCCGGCCCCCCTCTGCTCCCCACCTCGCCCCCCCCACCGCTCCCTGCAGCTCGCCTGTCCTCCTCCCCCCTCGCTATAGCCTTCCTCACTGCGAGCGCAAGAGCCTCCTCCAGGCGGGTCTCAGCAGGGCGCAGTCTGATGGCGCCCGGCCTGCCAGCGCGGGAGAGCTGCACCAGCTGCCTCCAGTCGTCCTCCCTCAGCAGCACCGCTGGCAGCCACACGTTTGCTAGCCGCACGCCGTACCTGCCATGCCATGCCATGCCATGCCATGCCACGCCACGCCACGCCAAGGGGGAGGGACCCACAGGGTGGGGAGGTGTGGAGCGTGAAGGGAGAGAGAGAAAGGGGTGGTGAGAGGGAGGCAAGAGAATGTGGAAGGCACCAGAAGCAGCAATAAGAGCGAGAAAGGACAGAGGACTCTGGAGAGAAAGGGTTGGGTTGACAATTACAACCAGGATGCATGAAACAGGGAGGAAGGGAGGAGGTGGCGCGGGTGAGGGTGAAAGAGAATCTAGTTGTTCAGGCAAGGAGCAAAACGCACCTGGCGCCAAGAGCGGCACAACGCACCTGGCGCCAACAGCGGCACAACGCACCTGGCGCCAAGAGCGGCACAACGCACCTGGCGCCAACAGCGGCACAACGCACCTGGCGCCAACAGCGGCACAACGCACCTGGCGCCAAGAGCGGCACAACGCACCTGGCGCCAACAGCGGCACAACGCACCTGGCGCCAACAGCGGCACAACGCACCTGGCGCCAACAACGCGGGCGATGGCCTTGGAGGGGAGGGAGGGGAGGGCGCGGGCGAGGGCGCAAATGGCGAGCTTCACAGCGGGAGGCACCACCGTGTGGCGCCACCGCCGCTTCCTGCCTTCCGCCCCCTCCCCTGTGCGCCCCTGCGCCTGCCCCGGCGTGCGTGGCTCTGCAGCCCACTGCTCCGCCAGGCGCTGCAGGCGGTCCAGCGGGCCCTCCTGCTGCTGCTCTCCCCCCGCTGCCCTCCCAGCACGCCCGGCAGCAGCAGCAGCAGGAGTAGCAGCAGCAGGGGCAGAGGCAGAGGCACCAGCAGCAGCAGTGGCAGCAGGGCGGTCGGAGTGCAGTGAATGGCGCCCCTCTTCCCTCTCCTCGTCTGTCCCTCCACCATCACTGCTCTGCCCTTCCGTGGTGTTTCCATCAGTCGTGTTACCATCAGGGGTGCTACCATCAAGCAACAACTCTTCCCCATCTCCTCTCTCCTTACCTTTCTTCTTCCCGCTCCCCCGCTCCACCTGCTTGACCCAGTTGCTCCCCAGCCCGTGCAGCAGCAGGGCCTTGCGAGCCCAGTGGCGGCTATACCGGAACCCCTCTCCCACGCCCAAGTGCGGCCCCACCTGTCTCGCATACTCCAAGACATCATCCCACCGCAGGGCCTCTCGCCCGTACCTTGCCTCCATGGCGCGCACCCACGCCGCCACAGCCGCCTGCACCTGGGGGTGCGCGCCGCTTCTGTGGCGGATGAGGGTGGCGCCGTGGGCGGGCAGGGCGAGGTACACGTGGCTCTTCCTCAGAATGCGCCGCACCGCCGCCACATCCAGCGCCGCCGCTCCCGCCGCCTCCACGCTACCCGCCGCAACTCCCCCTGCTGCCAAGCTCGCTGCCCTGCCAGCAGCAGCGGTGGTGGCACAGGTGGCGGTGGTGGAAGTGGTGGTGGGGGTTGCTTGGGGATGGCGGGCGGTGGCAGCGAAGGCGCGGTGCACGAGGCGGAGGATGTCTTTGGGCGGCATGTCGGGGCGGGCGGCCCTCAGCATGCAGATCACTCGCTTCAGCCGCAGACTGATTGCCGCCCGGTGCTTGCAAATCCCACCAGGCGCCCGCTTCTCCCTCCCTGCAGCACGCTGCCTCTCCGCGTGCCGCCTGCCAGCATCACCAGCACGGCCGTCGCCACCACTGGCGTGATCGTTGGGGGGGTCCTGGCGGAGGTCCCCTGCTGCTGCCACTGCCGCCTCCACATCAACCAGCGCCCCTCCCACTCTTGCTGCTGCTGCTGCTGCTGCTGCTGCTGCTGCTGCTGCTGCTGCTGCTGCTGCTGCTGCTGCTGCTGCTGCTGCTGCTGCTGCTGCTGCACCCCTCACTGCTGCCCCTGCTGGCGGCGCCGCCCTTCTGACTCCCTCTGCTGCCACGGTGGCTACTGCAGCATCAGAGTCACACCCACCTGCTCGCTGCATGCCTGCACCCGCCTGCTCCCCTTCCACGCCAGCCTCTGCCAGTGCCAGCGCCAGCAGCTCTCGGCTGGGCTGCACCGCGCGTGCCGCCTTGCCTGCTGCCTTCATCCTCGCCCGCTCCCTTGCTGCGCCTCTTGCTGTGCCTGCCAGCAAATCTGCTCCGCCCGGCCATCCACTTGCCTCTGCTGCCTCTGCCTGTGACGCCCGGTCCCCATCGCCCTCCTCGCCTGCCCCCCCACCTGCCTGCTCCCTGCCCTGCTGCGCCCGCTCCCCTGACCCGCCCTGGCCCCTCCGCCGCCCCAGCTGCCCCTCGCCCCCCTCGTCCCTTTCTGCCCCTTCGCCCCTCTCAACCCTCTCCCCACCTTCGCCCCTGCCCTCTCTCTCCCCCCTCTCACCCCCTTCCAGGTCGATGACCTCTCTGCCGGCCGTCAGAGACGTGTCCCGCCTCACCACCCTCATCCTCCCCCTACACGCACCCCTCCCTCCCTCCCTTCCACCCGCCCTTCCCACTACTCCCCGCCCTTCCCTCCCTCCCCTCCTTTCCCTCCCTCCCCTCCCTCCCCTTCGTCCCCTTCCACCCTCACCCGTTCCATCCTCCTCCCCCCCCTGCCCCTCCCCATCCACCGCATCGTCACCATGAGTGCGCGCCACCAGGATCTGAGCGCCAAAGATCTCATCTGCCACCGCCACCAGCGACGCCTCCGCACTGCCCGCTGCTGCAGCAGCAGCACCAGCGGCGGCGGCGGCGGCGGGGTCGTCATTGAAGTACGCCTCCCTCTCCTCCTCCAGGTCCCGCTTTGTGAACCCCCACCGCACCTGGAAGCGCCACGCCCACCCGATGCTGTACCTGCGGGGGGGAAGAGTACGAGAGGATAGTTTCAGTGGGAAGCCTTGAGTTGACATGAGAGACGTGGCAGGAAGGGGAGAGGCGAGGGTCCGAGGGTGCAGAGGAAGCAGCAAGCAAGCAACACGTGGCACACAACCCCGCCTGCCCTGCCATCAACCCTGGCAGCACCTGAAGGAGGGCGAGAGGCCAAAGGACGGGCCCAGCTGGCGGCCCTTGGCGCAGATGGCCTGCAGCTGCACCTTGGTGGCGCCGGGGCCGCCCTTCATGTCCCTCACCCACGCCACTAGCGCCTCCTCCAGCGCCATGCTCTCAGGCGCGCGCACGCTCTTGCTGCTGCGCTGCGCCAGCGCGGAGCTCCAGCGGGCCGCGTTGTCGAGGATGCCGCGCACGTGGGAGGGGATGAGGCGCATGTGCGGGTACTTGACGCGGCACACGTGCATGATGCCCGGTACGGTGATGCCGGGTCGCAGGCGCCGCAGCTCACAGATGGCACGCTTCACACTCACGTCCACGGGCTTGCGCCGCCCGCTCCTGCTCCCTCCCCCGTCTCCCCCGCCGCGTCGCCTGCTGCCGCAGCCGCCGCAGCCGCCGCCGCCTGCCTCTTCCTGCTCGCCTGCACTGTCGCCTGCTACTGCTGCCGCTGCTGCCGCTGCCGCTGCTGCTGCTGCCGCGGGCACATGAGGCCCATCCGTTGTGTGAGGAGCAGCCACTGCGCCCCGTGGTGCTGCAGCAGGCGGGTGGTGAGGCAGCATGACATCCATGCCTGCCTCCGCAGCACCGCTTGCTGTCCCATCGTCAACGGAACCCGTGGAAGCAGCGCCAACAACAGCCGCCCCACCAGCACCAACTACTGCTCCTCCAGCAGCGGCGGCGATAGTGGTGGCAGAGGCTTGTCTGAGGGCCTCACGAGCAGCTGCCAGGCCGGCAGCATAGCCCAGCTCATAGTCCTCCTCCCCCTCCCCCGCCTCTCCCCCCCACTCCTCCCCTCCCTCTCCTTCCCATTCGTCCTCTGCCGCTCCTCCACCCTCCCCCTCGTACCACTCCCCCCATGCCCCAACCCCCCCACCGTCCGCACCCACACCCACGTCGTTGCGCCCAAGCTCCTCCCCACCGCCACCCACTCCACCGCCACACTCCACCGCCACCCACTCCACCGCCCGCCACTCCACCGCCACCCACTCCACCGCCACCCACTCCACCGCCAAGCTGCCACTCCGCCCGCCCACCCTCCTCCCACCTGCCCGCTGCAACACCAAACTGCCCCTCGCCGCCCCCTCCCCCCTGCTGCCGTTGCTGCTCATACTGACGCTGCTGCTGCTGCTGCTGCTGCTGCTGCCATTGCTCCTCCTCCAGCCGCCGCCGCCGCCGCCGCTGCTGCTGCTGCGGCAGGCGGTGCAATCTCCCATCTGCTGAGCCCACCATCTGCTGCCTTGCGTGTGCCTCCTCGCCCCCCCGATCCCACCGATCCCCTTCCTCGTCGCCCTCCACCCCCCACGCGATCTCCACTCTCGTTCCCCTCGCTGCACCTTCGCTCTCCTCCCTATCCACACGCCTCTGCTGGCCCCCAACCGCTCCCAATGCCTCTCCACCACTCACCCGCCCATCGAGGTACCCCATTCCCCCACCCGCGTCCCACCCCCTGCCAGCGTTCCCTCCGCCTGGGCAGGGCACGAACGCTGTACGGGTGTTGGAATCATAGAATGACTCGAAAAAGGGCAGGGCACGTAAGGGCGGCTGTGAGCGAACGGGTGGCGGGGTCCTGACAGCGGGCGGCGGGGTACGTACGGGCGGAGGGGGAGTGCGCGCGGAACTAAGGGAGGGGTTCGTCGCGGGTCGCGGGACCGGGCCCGCTAACGAAGGCCGCGGGGACTGTGTTCCGCGGTCGAGCTACGGGCGGTGCGCGTGCAGAGGAAACCGACGGGCGACGGGCGACGGGGGGAGGGGAAAACAGGCTACGGGCGACGGGCGACCGGGGAAAAAAAAAAAAATCGAGCTACGGACGACGGGGGGGTAAACGGGCGACGGGCTACAGGTGACGGGCGACGGGCGCGACAGTAAGCGGCGTGGTGCGACGGGCTGCAGTCTAGTACGAGTCGCTACTACTTAGTAGCTAGATTGGTGGGCCCATGAGTATCGAGAGAAATTGCTAGGGGAAAAACTCGCTCTATACCATGTTAGAATCTGTTACGAGTGCAATTGAGCGAGCGAGCTAGAATTGCACTATCGAAGCAAAACACTACAATGAGCGAAGGAATGAGCGAGAACTAAATAGCGAAGGCCACACTGATAACGGTAACGAACTCTGGTTGACGCGCGACGGGCGTGTGACTGAGGTCGGGACTGAGGTTGGGAAAGTGTCGAAGCGGAGGTCCGGAGCGCGGGTTACCAGCCGAGCCGTGAGGTTGGGTTGCGATATGCGAAGTGGCAGGAAGATTGTCAAGGCGAGTGTCGCGAGTGGTAACGGTGCCGAGTGTGGTGAGAACAGTGGTGTACGCGTTACGCAGGGATGCGGCGTAAGGAAAAGGAAATTTCCTTACACTACCCCCCCCCCTAAGGAGGCCCTCCTTACGAGAGTGCGTGTACATCTCGGAAATTGCGGCTGCGCAGATACTCGGTGAGGACGGGGTGGTTTTTGATTCTGTCCAGGGGTACCCAATTGTCTTCGATGGGCGTGCGGTCTTTCCAGCGTATCAGGAACTCGATTCTGTGAGCTCCACGTGGGTCTCGAACTCGGTGGCTCAGAATCTTCTCGGGTGTGATGATGGGCTCGGTAGGTGGTCGGATCATGCTTGCTGGGCGGTTGCGGGGCAGGTGGCTCGTGGATGGTACGTAGGGGCGGAGTAAGCTGACGTGGAAGGACGGGCTGATGTACCAGTCAGCGGGAAGGAGGAGGTGGGCGGTGACGGGTGTGATCATGTGGCTGATGCGAAATGGCCCGCAATATCGGGGGGCGAAGTTTTGGGGTGATGGGTAGGCGGAGGTTTTGGGTGTCGAGTAAAACTAGGTCGTCGGGCTGGTAAGTAACAGGTCGGCGGTGGCGGTCGGCGTTGCGTTTAGCGATGATATTGGCTTTTTTAATTGCATCTGTTGCCCGGGTCCGTGCTGCCTGTAAAATTTCCGCGAACTGCTGTGCGCGAGGTCGGGGTTGTCGGGATTCGGGGTCATGGGTACTGTAGGGTCTTGCCTGTAGTTCAGGTAAAACGGTGACTATTGGGTCGTGGCTGATGATGGCTGCTGGTATCCCGTGAAGTCGAACGACGGTGGTGATGAAGAGCCGAGCTGTTTCTTCGGTCGAGATTGATTTCTTACGTGCTGCAAAATGTGCCATTTTCGTGAGTCGATCGACGACGACCAGGATTGCGTCGTTCCCACTTGCCCCAGCTGGTAACCCCGTGACGAAGTCCATCGTCACCTGCTGCCAAGCACTCTCTGGGGGTGGTATCGGCTACAACTGTCCTGCCGGCCGCTTCCGTGATGACTTCATGATTTGGCAGGTGGGGCACGATGCCACGTGTCGTTGCACGTCGGTCAACATTTCTGGCCAGTAGTAATACCGCTGCAACTGCTGCCGTGTCTTTTCTACCCCGAAGTGACCTGAGGTAATCCCGTCGTGTGCCTCCTGTAATAGCAGCTCCCGTAGTAAAGTGTACCCCTGAACCCAGATGCGGTCGGTGCCGGCTTTTAAGTAATAAATCCCTTTTGCTGTTGCGAACTGCTGCGAATTTCCGCCTGTGAAGAATGGGTATGTTTGATATCCATGGGTAAATAGTCCTGTCAGTAGCGGGCTGGTCTGGGCGAGTAGTACTGCATGGATTTGGGTAGTGGGGCGGGTCAGTGCGTCGGCGATGTTCGATGCCCCTTTTTTGTAGGTGACCGTGTAATGAAAATTCGACTTGGGGAAATCGAGCCAGCGGACCTGTCGTGGGTTGAGGTGGGGCTGTGCGCGGAGGTACTGTAGAGATTTATGGTTTGTCCGTACTGTCACGCCTGCGCCGGTCAAGTAACAGCGCCAGACTTTGAATGCATGCACGATCGCGAGCATTTCGCGGTTGTGTATCGGGTACTTCTTCTCGGGCGGATGCAGTTTTTGTGATTCATATGCGATGGGCTGTAGGCCCTTGCCGAAGTTTTGTAACAGTACAGCTCCGATGGCGATGTCGCTTGCGTCCGTAACGACTTCGAAAGGGCGGTGGGGGTCGGCAATGCACTGAGAAGATTTGAACAAGAATGAATGAACTATGAATGAAGTGAGTACATATAGGAAACCATAATTGGGTTGTACCCCCTATGGGATACCCCACTATAGCCTACACAACTGCATAAGCTATATATATGTTCTGACACACCCCCATAGGCAAAGTGGGGGAGAACAAGGGGTCACAAGACCAGTCACGCAAAGCACAGCAAGCTCAGGGTGGATCACAAAGTCACCACACAGTCCGAGCACAACGACAAGGCCACAAGGCCAGTTCACATGCAGGAGTGCACATATATATATAGAGCTAGACAAGCAAGAGCAGGTATATATATGTGACAGTACAAGCAAGGTCAAGAGGAGAGCAAGTGAGGCAAGACAGGTACAAGACCCAGCTGAGTGCAGAAGCGCTGATGGTCACAAGGCGCAAGTGCCTTGGTGAACACATCAGCAGTGTTGGCCTCAGAGGCCACGTACGCAAGTCGCAACTGACCACGCTGCTGCAGCTCACGAGCAAGAAAGTAACGAAGAGCAATGTGCTTCGTTCTGTGCTCCAAGCGCTGCTCTCGACACAAGGCCAGCATGGCCTTGTTATCTACGTACAGCACTGGAGGAGAACGAGGCGGCTCTCCAAGGTCAGTCAGCAGGTAGGTGAGCCAGCGAAGCTCCTGTGCAGCCATGGCCCCGGCGTAGATCTCAGCCTCACAACTGGAGCCGAGAACAGAGGACGAGCGAGTAGCCCGCCACGAGACAGAGCCGGAACCAAGACTGAAGGTGTAACCCTGCGACGACCGCTGCGTAGCCTGGTCGTCAGCCCAAGAAGCGTCCGCGTGCCCAGTGAGGACCACTGGACTCCGCCCTCCAAGCACTAGCCCCATGCCCGACGTACTGCACAAGTAGCGCAACACCCTCTTCGCTGCAGCCATGTGCTCTGGTCGGTGTCTCCCAGGAGCAACATAGCGTGCAAGAATGCTAAGAGGGTATGCAAGGTCAGGTCGTGTGCAGGTCATCAGGTACATGAGGCAGCCAACAAGCTCTGGGTACGGGCCACTCGACTCTACGGACTCATCCGAAGGCAGAGCTGAGAGCGAGTGGCGAGTAGACAGAGGAGTGGCCTGAGGCGAGGAGTACGTGAAGCCGAAGCGCTGAAGGACCTGCTGCACCATGTGTGACTGAGTCAAGGTAATGGTGCGGCGTGCTCTGTCCCGAGTGATCTGCAAGCCAAGGTAGCTGCGCAGTTCACCCAGGTCTGTGCACGTGTGTCTCTTCTGTAGCTCGGACTTCACGTAGGCTAGTCCAGCAGTGTCAGCTGTGGCAAAGACCAAGTCGTCGACGTACACGAGGATGTAGAACGGCGGCAAAGAAGTGTCGGTGCGCAGAAACAACGACGGGTCAGCCGTAGAGGGAGCAAACCCAAGAGCCGCAAGCGTAGTCCTCAGTGTGTCGTGCCACTCACGCGGTGCCTGGCGGAGACCGTAGACTGGCCGTCGGAGGCTCCACTGGGTGCTAGTAGGGAAAGTCCCAGTGAAGCCAGGTGGACGGCGCAGCCAGATCTCCTCGTGCAGGCTACCGTGCAAGAAAGCAGTGCTGAAGTCAAGAGAGTGGAGCTCGTAGTCGCGCTGAGCGGCTATGTGCAGCAGCACCCGAAGAGTGGTCATCTTCGGGGTGGGAGAGAAGGTCTGAAAGTAGTCAACTCCCTGCCGCTGACTGAAGCCACGAGCGACGTACCGCGCCTTGAAGACAGGTGGAGAGCCCGGCGGCCGCTTCACCCTGAAGATCCACATGCCACTGACGATGTTCGCCCCAGGAGGGGGAACCGCGTCAACGTAGGTGCCTGTGGACTTCCAGGACGCCATCTCTGCATCCATAGCTGCCTGCCACTGAGAGGAGTAGGGACCCTCTACGGCCTCCGCGTAAGAGCGCGGAGTCGGGATGTCTAGTGCATCCGCGTCTCCCTCAGGGGCAAGTAGTACGGACGCGAGATGAGGTGAAGCAGCAGCCAGACACTGGAACTCCTCCTGCCTGTCCTCAAGGACGTCCGT